TTTCTCAAGCTTATCTATCCCTCTCTAGCCATCATTAATCTAAAAGAATGAGACACTTTCAGGACTTGAATCTTATACATAAGTTTAAATAGTAATTTTAGCTCTTTCTAGGCCACGGAATGAATTCAGATCAAAATAGTAAGACCCTTCCTACTTACAGCTTATATGCTTTAGTATTAATCACTAGCCTTAGATCTCTGACACTGCTCCCATTGAGACTGTTTCTCTAAAAGCACCCAGGTTAAGGGAAGACTTATATGGTCTGATGCCGAGTGAAGTGAGCAGAACCCAGAGGACTTTGTATAATAGCAGCCACATTATGCAATGACTAAGAATGTTAAACTGAACCCTTCTCAGTATTACAAGGATCTAAGACATCTCCAGAGGCCTCAGGATGGAAAATGCTGTCCACATCCAAAGAAAGAACTATGGAAGTCGAATCGCTCTCACTTATTTTTACCTTCTGTTGAGTTTTGTTTCATCTTTCTGATGGTTCCTCCTATTGGTTTTAATTTTCACTTACAACTTCACTGATATGAAAATATGTTTAATGGGTATGTAAATGTAAACCTATATCAGTATGTGAGCCGTCTGGGGGGGGGGAGAAAAAGGGAGAAAAAAATTTTCAACTCAAAAGCATATGGAAAAAAAAATTAAAAAAATAAAAAATAAAATAAAAGCACCAGTTAAGTCCAATCCAAGGACACAACAAACCAGAAATGAAACTCTTAAGTTCATAAGAGATTTGAACGTAATTTTCATCAACAATAAATTATTACTGCAACAAATTAGCTTGCAAATAGAAATTTAGTGGGCCCTCTAAAAGAATATCAAAGACTTCATCAAAACATCTTCATAAAATTATCTCCTTTTCTTAAAAACAGCTTACAATTCCCTAATTACCATTGTCAACCTGAACATTGGTTAAAGAGACCACAAGCTAGTGATAAGTGATATTCCATCCTGACTCAGGATGTCTGGGTTACTCAGTTTCATGGTCTCCAAATGTTTAACCTAAGCATTGTTATACCGAGAAATTAGCGAGTTGACCACCCAGGTTAATTTTAAATTGTGGACTTTATTAGCACGCGGCTGCCAGGGATATTCACATCCAAATCAAGCAGCCCCCATCAGGGGTCGAGCCAGGGTTTATATAGGGAGTATACAGGACAGGGAGGGGGATGGATCTTAGAAGTCAGGCAAGAGAAAGAGGTTTTTTTTTTTTTGAGCTGGTCAAGGACACCCCTCTCCCTCTATCTAGATATGATAATGATCTGCAAACTTTCTCATAATGGAGGCTTCCAGAGATATGATCTGAGGGCTGTGGCCTGAGCAACCAGATAAGGGTCTTGCTAAGGAATTTGGAGGTTTCCATGGCCTAAAGGGTCCTACTACCTAAATGGTAAAATAATGTTCTGCATTACAGCATGAGAAAGGAAATTTAAACAAGACAGGCAAATGTCAGATCCACGACATCTAGGTCTCCTTTACCACCATCAAGGTAGTGTCTGGGTTAAAGGCGCCTCAGTGGTCATAAACATAAGAATGCTCTTGATCAGCATTCTTAGCTCACTCAGGAAGAAAAGATCAGTTCAGGTTTTTTGGTCTTTATTGGGGCTCAATTGATCTTAAATGATTATCACCATAAAATTCCTAGTTACCTAATTTCTTTAGTCCAGAGGTGTCTGCAATGGGCCATTTAATCAGTAAGAGTTCCACCTCAGAAAACTCCTGCACAGGATTGATAAGAATTATGAGATTTTACAAAATCTTTCTTTGCATAATTACATAGTTTCTTTACACACACACAAAAATACTTCTACCAGTAATTCATTTAAACAGTAACTCCAAATAGCTTAGTTAACAATTTTAAACTTCGTAAGTGAGAACCAAATAATCCCAGCTAAAACTTTCCTTTAAACAGAGAAAACTTTTAAGTTCTCATTTCTCAAATTATAGTACTTAAAAAGGAAAATGTTACAGAACAGGGTCATATAGAATACCCCAACAGCCTTTACCCATTCCTTTTTTTTCTTTTCTCTTTTCTCTGAAGGCGCATTCTTTATTTAACATTATAGGTTATAAAATGAATTGCTCTTCCAAAAGCATAACTAATACAATTGCTTACCTGATTACATCACATAAGAAAATTCAGAAATATGTAAGCAGTATATTAAAAACTTGGACCAGACCCAATTAATTATTATAAAACCTTTTCTCTTTTCTGAACCCCTTCACCAGATCCCAGTCTCCTGGGGCACTCCACCCACTAGACTGGCTTTTCTTTATTATCTATGGGGTCTGATAGCCTCGGGCCACAACCAGATTCAACTTCAATGGCTCATCCCTCAACAAACCCAATAATTATCCTAAAGAAGGCCTGGTTTGAAAAACATATGTACATATATATTTTTCTATTTTTCTAATTTCTAATTGAGGCCCTGATATGAGAGAATATCTCATTAATTCCAAATACATATCAATAAGCTTTTCTACAATAAAATATGTTTGTAATTATTTCCACAATTGTAATAAACTTTGAAACGACCCATTATCAATTTAGATGGATGTTCTTCTAAGTCACTTTGTACAGAAAATCATTCATCTCATCATTAATATGTTGGGACTATAACTTTAAACCACCATATATTTTTATAATACTCAAGATTTTAAAAGAAAATCTACTATCATAGTCTTAAAACCCAATATACCTCACTAGGTATTTAACAGTTTCAAATTATCTCAATTTCATCACTAAAGATGAAGAGACATCTCCACTCTTTATCACTGAAGACCCATTCTAGGCCAAGAGTTACTTTAACACCATTTCTACCTCACAATGGTCCCTCAAATTTTACAGTCTAAGAGTTTTAGAAATAGAATTTTAGAAATACAGTAATAACCTAAACAATAAACTTCAGATGACATTAATTAAATTTCTAGATTATCACATATAAAAATTATCACTCATTACTCTTAGTACTTTTAACAATTACATTAAATAGTAAATAGTGCCACTTCTAACATATGCCATTGTATTAAGCACTCTATAATCATCATTTTCTTTTCCATAACCATTATAGTTTTCCTTTATAAAACAGTAAACTTAAATCCAATCAGATCCTAATTTATAATGGCTATATATGATAAACATTTAAAAACATTTTTGTTTTAAATCCAATACTCTTGGCCCTTTAAAAGGAAATATTCTCCACATGTTTGTATATTCCCTTAAACAGACAAGTGTAAATAATTCCTGCTTTAAACAATTACCTTCCTTTTTTTCTTTCCTACTTCAATGTTAACTAGGCCTAATTAATTTTCTCCCCTTAGGCAGAAAGCTTCTGGAGTTCCAATAAGTAATTGAACAGCCCAGTTTATGTAACAATCTCCAATCACAATGATCTGCAAAATTTCACTTCAATTCTACCCAAAGCAGAGTCAAACTTCCTCACATTTTAAAAACACCTTGAAGGCAGCCAGAATCAATATCCAAGGGTGACCTACCTCAAAACAAATACCCACTCATCAAGGCTGGGACAGCTTTGGACTCAGAAGGGACATAAGAATTGCAAAGCCAGAGAAAAGCACTCTCCTAGCCTTTCCCCAAATAGCTTTTATAATGTTAAAAACCCTTATTTTTGTAATGTTAAGCACATTGCCCCTATGCCAAACACATTGGCGGGAGGGATAAAGACAGCCATTCAAACTCATAGCCTTGGAATCCCATTAAACCTGAATTCTAATCCTGGGCCCTTTTTCTTCTCTTGGCCCTAGCCATCTTGGGCTGCAAGCTCCTTATCAGTTAAAGGCTGCTTGCTGGCCTTCCACTAACTTCTGAGAGATTCTCTCATTTTTTTATTCTAATCTCAATCTCCCCCAGAAAGCCTGAGGCAGGAGGCTTTTCCTACTGTTCCTTTTCCAATCTCAGACCTCAAAAGTTACCCCAAAATTTTTCTGACAGACACAAAACATCCATAGACAGACAGACAGACAGAGAGACAGACAGACAGGGTGCGCACAATCCTACTTCTAACCAGTTTTGACCAGTGAAAACAAACTCATTTTGTCCCAGGGTCCCCTTTGAATGGGTTCCAAGGGTTTTTTTTTCTCCTTTTCTTTTCCTCTTACTTGACTTAAGAATATACCCGTCGATGTTGGGGTTATAACCCCTGGGCCCCAGCAACCAGCATAACCTTTTTCTTCTTGAGGGGCCTCTCTTTTATCATTTACATACAAATTTAGCAGTTAACAAATCCAATCCTCATCTGATCAAAATTTAGGCCCAAACACTGATGGTGCCAGGACAGGTTCCTTAGTTCACTCTTGGCAACAATATTTAATCATTTTCTTCCCTCTAGTCCTGGTAAAGAGGTCTAGGACTTTTGGGGTGCTTGGACCCCAAGATCACGGTACTGGGCCCTGCTGAATAAATTCAACTCAAATCTTCTTCAGCCAGAGGAAAAGTTTATTAGTGATAAATCACATTGACTAGGTGACGCCCGTAAAGATGAGTGGGCATGAGAGGTTCTCTGCCTTGAGGACCTGAGATTCTCAGCCTCTGAATGAGGGCCAAGGTGGATCTTAAATACTAAAGTAACTTTGGGTGGCCAGAGAAGGGGGTTGGGAAAAGGGTATAGGTAAGAATTCTAATTAGGGAGGTCAGAGAGATTGAATAGACAATAGGAATAGCTAATGGAGGGAACAGGAAGGCAGAAGCTTGAAAGGCATCTGCACAAAATCAAGTTGGGGCTAGGGCTTTCAAAAGGAGATAAAAGAAGGCCTTTCTGGGGCCTATAGACAAGAGGGAGCCAGATCTGAATAAGATTAAAAGGTAAAGCTTTCAAAGGGAGATGAGGGTCTGGGGCCTGTGAGTCAGACTCCCTTTGGGGCAAAGGGCGAAGATCTTGGCTTGGGCCCCACCCCCATCTTTGGGAGCATCCTCCCAACTTTCTAACATCCTTCCCAGAGGGCTATCAAGAAGGAATGTCGTCCCTGGGGATTCCTCCCTCTCTTCCAGGTACCTTAGAATTTGCCCCTCCCATCTCCAAATCTGTTCCTAGCTCAAGGCTAACCAGTCAGATCCCCGGACCTTGTGAGTTTGAGACCAGCAAAGATTGTTTCTTACCTTTGCCCAATATATTGGCTCTTGTGGTCTGCCGGTGGCTTCCCCAATCCCCTGGACTTCTTCCATGTGGTCCAAGATCAGGAGTTCGGTTGGGAAAGGCTCAATTCACTGAGACCGCTGAAATACAGCGGGAGCGCTCTTCCCGGGATGTCTTACCTCGTCCCCTCCGAAATCTAGATCGAGCCCCACGTTGGGCGCCAAATTGTTAGAAATAAGCTTGACACCAAAAAGTTAGTATCAAGAAAATTTATTATAAATAAAGTCCAGAGGAGGATTTAGACGTTTCTGGCCAGAAGCGGGTTCCCACTCCTCTTCAGGAGGGGTGGGCCCTGAGTGTAAGGGCAAGTGTGCTTTTATGCAGTTGAATTTGGCGCGAAACCTCCCAGGCCGGGATTGGTCCATCCCTTCCCAGGTTACACCTTTCCTTACATGTTTCCCCTTGTTATGCTCAAGTATGTTCCCCCTCCCTTGGTTATACGTCCCATGACTTGTTAATGAGGCTCTAATTTTATGCAGGGTGTGTCAGATAATAGTAATGAAGCTCATTAAGAAGGCACACTAACATCTTTCAGGTGTCCTCAGGTTGACCCTAACTGGTCTGAGCTGGCTTGACCCTTCTCTTGATTTTGTGGTCTTCTTGGAACAATCCACTTACTTCGTATGGGTTAAGCCCAGCCCACCTACAGTGTACCACTTCCTGGGACCTTTGTTCTTTAAATCTCTGCATTATTCTACCTGTGGAAACTTAAGCCCTTCTAATTCTAACACAATGGCTTGACATATCAGAGGCAGTGGTCTTGTTAGCTGGATTTCTAGTTTTAGTTTCTGACTGACCCATAGCCAATTTGCCAGATCGATCCTTACCAAAGGGGACCTGATACAGTAGCCGAAGTTTCTGAACCTCGACTGGATCCCCGACCCCAGAGCTAGCTTGAAGGGAATTTTCTTTCGGACTTCAACCAAACTAGTGGGACGTCCATGGAAGGTGGGAATAGGAGAAACTTACCCGACCCCATCAAGGTTAGGACTCCAGGAAGAAATGGATCCTGAGGCGCCTGAGCCACTAAAGCGTTGCCGGGGTGGGCTGTAGTTTTCTCCCATTCCTTCAGTTCCAATCCAAAGTCACAGCACCATTACTGTTAACCTGAAGGTTTAGTTAAAGAAGGCAAACAAGTTAGGTGATACCCATGATTATATAGTTTATTCCCTTTTAGCTAGCGAATCATGTTAACATGGGAGCCAGATGGCAGATGGAATAATCTCTCTTCTCTACAGAACCTTGAACTTCTTCCTCCCAGTATATGACTAAGCCCCTCAATCAGTACAGACATATTAGCTGCCCCCAATGAGGCACACGGACTTTAGTCAAACCTAGCGAACATTTGTCAACTCTGAAAACAAATGTTAAAAACTCCAAAGGCCATCTCCAGTAATTGGGCCTGAGGTGTTTGATGTCCCATTGCCAATTTCTGCAGTTTCCTCTGAATATCTGGGGCAGACTGACTAATGAAGTGCATGCCAAAGATTGCTACCCCCTCTCTAGAGTTGGGGTCTAGATTGGTGGAGTTTCTTGATAAGCTTCCATCAACTGACCTGGAAAAGGTCATTTGCTCCCTAAGTAATCTTGATTTTCTGATAATTTGCTTGCTTTTGAAACCCCTTTCTGAGGTCTTCTAATATGGTCTCTCTCCTATCCCCATTCTTCTGATAATGCCATCCAGAGTCACTAGTGGGAACAGCAACTGCTCCCAAGGGGGTATCTCGTGGGGTCAGAGCTGGCCACATGGTCCACAAACTTCTGGGCCTGTTCCCAGATTCTCCTCTTCTTCTAAATGGTGCAACAAGTGAAGAAGAAGATATGCAAGTCTCCCCAAGAAAGCTCAAATTGAAGAGACACATTCCTAAAGCTCTCAGTAAACTTAGAGGGATCTTCAGAGTACTGACTCAGTTTGTCTTTAACCTGAGTGAGGTCAAAAACTGAGGATGGGACAAGCACTCTAATTATCCCACTGGGTGAGCCAGCTACTTCCCTTAAAGGAAAAAGCCTTGAAGGCACCGTGGAATTGGGGGCGGGACTTAGAAGGAGGGAAGATAAGAAGTCCCACTCCTTGTGAGGGAGGGGATGGGGGTGTGGGCTGTTGGGAAGCTGGATTGGGCTGCAAGGCTGGGGGATCCAGTGGGCAAGGGGAAGGATCAGCTGGAACCAGAGGAGGGAGAGGAGCCAGAAGAAGAGATGCAGTGGGGGCTGCCACAGGGGTGGGGCCTGGGCCAGAGGTGCTGCAGGAGTCATAGGGGAGATGGGTGGGAACAGCAGGAGGGGGAAAGGAGAAGGGAGAGGGTAGGAGGTGGAAATGAGAAAGGGGGCAGAGGAAAAATGAAGAGGAATGAGTAAATTGCCAAGGGGTGAGAAATGTGAGAAGCAGTGTAGGGGTTGGGGAAAGCAGGAGAGGGTGGGGAAGAGGAGGGAACAGCAGGAAGGGGTGGAGAAACAATGGGGAGGGGGGGAGGGGAAAGAGCATGGAGGCAGGGGCAGAGACAGGGAAAGGGGTGGTAAAAAGGTAAGGGAAGATGACCTAGGGGCTGAAGCCCTGGGTGCCGAAATAAGGGGATCATCTAAGATATCACGTTGTTGCCCTTTCCCCTTTGTTGGGGCAGCTTTAGCTGTGAGCATCTTAATTTTTTTATTTTTTCTGAGAATGGGGGTCTCTGAGAATGTCATGAAGGCCATTATGGTATTTCCATCCACTCCCGTTCTCAGAGACAGTATAAATCTAGCTATAAAAAAGTACTGTATTGCAAAAACCCCCAAATGGTCCATGTTTCTTGGTCCTCCAGGTGATACTGAGGCCAAGCTGTGTTGCAAAAGAACATGAGCCATTTCTTTTTGTGACCTCGATAGAAATTGAACTTTTTTCCAATTCTTTAAAAGAGAACACAAGGGCAAATTTTGGGGAATTGAAAAGGATTGGCCCATCCTGGGAGTGGGGGCTGGTAGTCCCTCCATGAAGGAGGATCTGGGGTGTAAAGGGGGTACAGACAGAGTAAGGCTCAGGAAATCAAAAAGACACCTACAATTTTCCCAATTCTCCAGCATCCTAGAGAATTGAGAGAATTGGGCATACACTTCCAGATAGGGTGTCCCCCAAGCAGCAGAAGGCATGCCCAGGTCCAAGACAGCCATCTGACCTGAATGTAACCATCTGACCCAAATGGAGCCTGAGAGCATCAGGCCTGAAAAGCATCTTCAATCCTTCCTAGGTGCTTGGAGACTGACCCCAACTACAGAGTGAGAAAGGGATAGAGAGGGAGGGGAGGCTTATATAACTTCCAGTCTTCCCTAGAGAAGGGCTTGAGGGGGTCAGGCAGTTCCCTATAGAGGGCCACCAGTATGTTGTGGTTTCATGTGCTGGGAACCCAGAAATGCAAGGGTACAGGGGAGTCTGCCTCAAAAGAATTCAACCTCTCAAGCCTTCTTTCAGTCAGAGTAGAGTTTTTATTATAACATACTTAGGTGGGCAAGATTCCTAGGAAATCTGCAAATTTGATGAGAATGGGACTGATACTTATACACAAAAAAGACTGTGAGAAGATCTGAATGGGATTAAGGAGTGGCAAGTAGCCTGGAGTGGTCTGGGAGCGACAAAGAAAGGGTCTGGATGGGATTAAGGAGTGGCAGGTAGCCTGGGGTAAACCAGGTGAAGACAGTGAAAGGAGTCAAATGGTCAAAGAACTACAGTGAAAGGGCAGTTAAAAGGATAATTGAGTATCTACGTAGACTGGGATGGATCAGATGCCTCATTCCAAGCACTGGTGTGACAATGTTCAGGGGCCTTTAGGGGTCCAGGTCCAGGTAAAATAATGTTCTGCATTACAAACCCACCCCACAAGCCCCAAGCCTCCAGCCATCCAGAAAAATGCCTGGGCAGGCAAGAAGTCCCCAGTGGGAGTGTTGGGGTGCTTGGGTGCTTATGCTTAGGTTCTTATGTTTGGGTGCTTGTATTCAGACCCCAATTTCTCCCTACCCTCAGAAACACTGTCCCTTGATAATCATTTAAGCTCCGAGTGAACTAAAAACACCCCTTCCTGTGTCAAGCAAATTCCAGGACCAGATACAGCTGATCAGTATTCTTCCTGTTTGTTATCACTGGGCCCAGGGTGTGGGGGACCAGATACTCTCTTGAATAATGGGATTTTTCTTATCTTGAGTTTCAATTGAGAACTAACCTCTCCTTAACCACTCCCTCATCCCACCCTGATTCACCTAGTTAGCATATTGGGCACATGTTTTATTGTATTTTATCCTATATAAACTTTAACTGTACCTCTCTAAGGTTGCAGGATCTTTAAGAATCCTTGCCCGCTGAAAAGCGTAACAATAAATCTTTGCCACCTTGGGTTAAAGAATGCTTGAGTCTGTGAGTTCATTCCAGATGACCCATCTTGTACTCTGGTCTTTGAGGGGTCACAACCTCTCAACCTCTCAGCCCACAACAGGAGCAGCCTTGGAGGACCAGGCACACACATGTACGCTTATACTTACATACACATGTAAATATACACACAGATGATCCTACCTATGCACATAACACTGGCATAAACAAAGGTGTTAATACTCCCACGACTTCTCACCCATGTTCACACACATCCCCCTGGGCACTAAGAAAAGTTAATTTGGTGAGGGGAAACCATTCAGGAGTAGGTTGAAAAGGGGATAGAAGAGAATATAAGGAGGTGATGTGGAGGGGCAGGAGGGCAGCAGACAGGCAGTGGCTTTTTGGAGGGGAGAGGGGACTTACCTATGCAAGAAAGTGCAGAACTTCTGAGATACCTCAGGTGGAGAGGGGGTGAGTAAAAAAGGGAAGAGGTGTGGTGGGGGAGAAAAAAAGGCAGTGAGGGGTAGGGAGATCTCCAATTGCTTATGATCCTCACCTCCTCCCTGCTGCTGCAGACTGGGGAACAGGGAATTTACTCCTTCTTCCTCCTCCTCCTGCCCCTCCTTTTCTTTCTGCAACAAAGAGATACTGGTGAAAGGTGTTGGGGGGGAGGAGGCCTGAAAGTGATCACAAGAGCTGGGCTGATCTCCAGCCAGAGCAGAAGGCAGAAGGAGAAGGGAGAGGAGGTGGCTCTATGATTTCAAGCCTAGAGCAGTGGGGAGCCCTCCCTTAGTTTCCCTTAACCCCCATCACCCAGCCAGTAGAGGGGAGGAGGGTATAGTGCATAATCCACTTGGAGGAGGGCCTGGAAGTGACCAGCATCCCAGGATCCTGAAGGCTGCTTGCTTGGGCTGGAGGATGGGGTGGCTGGCAGCTGCGCTCAGCTTGAGGTTGTCAGCCGTCAGCCCCTTTACAGAAAACCAGAAATGGAGAGGTCAAGGCAGGAGGTGTCGTGGGCTCCACAAAAGGGAAGAGCTCAGTAGCAACAGCATCTACAAACCACCAGCCAGTGAATGGGACCTGGATTCCTGTCAACCCCCAGAGCAGAAGAGGAAAGGGGTGGCCTGGGGAAGGGGGGCTTTCAGCCTCCTTTCTCAAGGCATGAGGAGACAAAATCAGGCCAGGACTGGGAGGGACATGGAGGCACCTAGGCATGCAGGCATGTCCTCCCCTGACCACACCTAGGCTGTAGGAAATGGGGGAGGAATGCAATTGCTGATGGGCAACTCCACCATCAAATTAAAGGCAGAGGCTGGGGATCCTCTGGGACTCCAGGCATCAAAGTCAAAAGTCTTTGGATGCTGAGAAGGTGTTTTGATCACACAGCTTCAGGAATAGTGACTGGACATGTGAGAGATGTAAGGGACACTCAGGGAAGGACAATCTCTCCATTGGCACCTTCTCTGCCTGCAATTTGTACTCTCAGAAACTTGCCTAGAGCACAAAGAGCTTAGGTGACTCAGTAATCTCAATATATTCAGGTAGTATGTGGTGGAAGATCAAGGGATAAACTCAAAGATTATCTCCCAGGTCACCTATGCCCCAAGAAGATGGAGTGACAGTGCTCTTCTACTTGAATGAGAGAGAGGCAGTCATGTCAGAGGATCACCAAGAAGGAGAGTCCAATGAAATGGGCAAGCAATGAAGCCCAGAAGACATGCACCAGGCAAAGTGTTAATGTAGCTCACAGACAAGGAGAAAATTCAGAGGGAATAGGTACAGGAAAATGGCTGGTCTTAGCCACAAAGGATATTTGTTAAATAACGAGCAAATTTTGGCCAAGACTTTACCAATGTCAAATCAGCATAGCCCAAGCATGGTGCAAAAGGAAAATAAACCCTGGGGCACACAAAAATCAGACATTAAGGGAGACTCTAGATGTAGTCTTTGTAGTAGTAGTAGAGCTAGGACTCCAATCTGGCTGCTCTAACAATATATCCCACTATTCTTATCCATGGTCCAATGACCATGGCCTCCATCCTGAATAAAGCCTTTCAAGTCTCATATGTGTGTTCTCTGTCTGCTGCTGTCTTCACCCAGTTCTTACCTTAAGCCACCAAAAGGGTTTACAGAATCACAGGCTTTAAATCTCCAGCTCGAAGTACCCTCAGGGTCCACCTTGTCCAATCCCCTTATATTATAGAGGAAAATGAAGCCTAGGGAGGTAAAAGGACTTGCCCCAAATCACTTGTAGGATCAGAGATTTAGAGTTGCAAGGGACCTCAAAGGTCAATGAGTTGAACTTTCTTATTTTCAGAGAAAAAAAATTGAACCCCAGAGTGATGGCATGAGTTGATTAAGGTCACTCTGCCAGTTAAGTGTCCAAGGGAGGATATGAACTCAGATTTGCCCAACTCAAAATTGAGCAGTGTAGCAATTATATTCTGCAGCCTCTTATATGCTCATCTCACTAGTGTATGGAATAGACCTTTGGTCAAAACTACCCAATTGCTTTCATCAAGGCCATGGAACCACACTGGCTTTCTTGCTGTATGACTCTTAAAGACAAAGACATGCAAAGAAGAGAAGAAAGAGAAGTTAACACCATCATGCTGCTGAAATGCCGGCAGATACAGAGCTTTCTGAGGTGTGCAGCATACAGAATTTGGAAGGCAGAAGTCAAATTGCAATCTCACTTCAGTCCTTCCAAATTCTGCAACTGTGTTCATGTCACCTTTACCAGAAAACTACTTTTCATGTTTGGTTTTTATTGGCACTTACCTCACTGAGTAAGCTGGGTGATGGGATGACAAATAAAACAAAAATTGATCAGAAATGTCACACAGCATCATCATCACCACCACCACAAAAAACCACCAACTTTGACTGTCATTATTTTAAGAACAATTAGGAGTGTCATCATTGAATGGTTCACAAAACAAAAACAAAAAAACTATTTAGAATTCATCAGCATGATTTCAACTGACCAAACAGAGATACCGCTTTTTTTGTTGCAAGCCACAAACCCCCCTTCAAAAATCAATCTACAGCTATGTGGCACATCTCCGGCCTTGGAGTCAGGAGGACCTGAGTTCAAATTTGGCCTCAGACACTTGACACTTACTAGCTGTGTGACCCTGGGCAAGTCACTGAACCCCATTGCCTAGCAAAAAACAGAAACAAAACCAAACAAAAATCAACCTACAGAAATTCCCTACAAAATCAGAATGAATAACTGAAAATTGTTTTAAAATATCACTTTACCATTCGCGTGTGCAATTGTCCAGAGAAAAGACCATTCTGCTACACAAACCATAGTGCACGGTCATGGTAATTAAAATGTCAAAGCCCATGCAAAGTGATTCCTTAAGTACCTGTCAGTATCATTCTGTAAATGTCACCCGCTGTATTACCACTTTTGTCTTTTGCAAAGAACCTTGAGCCAGCAACAATTCAACGGCACTGAATGTGTGAGATTTGATAAGTCCTGGGAAAAAAAAGCCAGAAATAAGGAGTGAGCACTCCACATGTCAGGGTCTGATAGGCCAGGACTGTATTTGAAGACAAGGGCTATCCATCCATTCATACCTCTGAGCTGGTCTCTTTATTTGTCTGCAGAAAGTGCTGCTGGCCTCATTTCTTTCCATGGACTCATCAATGGAACTGAAAGGTGTCATCATACTTGCCATGTGGACCTTGAACACAATGATATGGTCAGACCTGAAGAGATGGAGGGAAATGGAGTAGAAGACCTTAAATAGTTTCAACTTGGGAAATGTGCAAATGGCTACAAGGTCATCTGCACTCTGATATTGGGAGTTTTCATTTCAAATCTCACTTCACCTCTGTTTCAGTTGAAGCAACCTGGCTCATTCACTTTGACAAATTTTGAGGCTTACCTCAGAAAACTCCTTTGTAAAATATGGGGAGGAATGGTTCTTGCCTCACTCACTAGCCAGGATAATGCAATGTCCAAAGAAATCCAAAAATCACAAGATGCTGACAATACCATCATCTTCATTACCGTCATCACCATTATTCCTGTGATTGGAACTATGCTTCCTTCCTGCATGTACCCTTCAGAAAAGATCCTTCATGAGTACACATGAAGAATTTCATCTGTCTATCCAGAAGCATCTTCTTTAGTTGCCAGTCATGATTCCCTTTCAAAAATCCACCCTCGAGAAGTGTTTTCACTAAGAGAAATAGTTTGGGCAATCTTTTTTTAGCCTTATTCTTGCCATGAGTCACTGGTCCACAAGAGGGAGTCTGAATCTTTGGCAAAGAGACCATTTCAGGATTGAAAAATGCAGAATCTTTTTGAAAACTCAGGAATCCACCGACAAAGAAATCAAAGACCTGACCACTTCTAATATCCTGGAAACTGACCCAGCCTTGGTGCATCTTTTGGCCCTTGCATACTACCTTCCTGCTGCCACAATTTAACAGAACACTTGTAGGATTTGAGGAGATAGTGTTTACGAACCAAAATGCAATGTGACTGCAACAAGGATGATATGGTAAAAGTCCTGTGCCTTGGGTTTGAGGCCCACTTGAAGCCCCAAAATTTAAATTATCATGTTGACCTCTCAAAAAAAAAAAAGAAAACATAGGCCTTCAATGGCATCAATGGTTTTAGCAGAAAGCCTGTAAAGCATGGCAGCTCTTACCATGAATTAAAGGGATTCAAGCTAAATGATTGAATTGAAGGTGAAATTAGGGTTAGAGTCCAAACTCCACGTAAAACCGCTCAAAAAGAAAATGTTGGTGATTCTATAGTGGACTGTGTTCAAGTCCAGGTAAGGTTTAAACCACTTGGACACTTCTGTTTGTCCGACCATTTTATCTCTTCTACATCATTTCCCTTCATCTCTTCAGGTCTGGCTATTTCTTTGTCTTCCAGGTTCACATGTGAAATGTGATACCGTTTTTTGGTGGCAATACAGAGTCCAGGAAGAGATATGAGGCCAGCAGTACTTTCATCAGGCCAAATAGTAAGACAAGCTTAGAGATACAAATGTATGGTCCTTTTTCACAAACACAGTCCTGGCCAGTGACTCTTATGTGTTCAGTGCTCAGACCTTCTTCTTGGCTTTTTTCTCAGGACTTGTAAAATCTATCATGCAACATGCCATTGAATTGATGCTGGCAGAATGTTCCTTGAAAACAACAAATAAGTTAACAGAGTTGGTATCAGTTACAAGATCATACTGAAAAGAAGGCCCTTCATCAGTGTGCATTGAATTTTGCATTTATAATTAGTAGGACATTTTAATATGTGTTGTGTCACCAAATTGGCCTTTCTTCCAAGTGATGACTAATGGAAGTGGTAAAGTGACATTTGAAAATACTTTTTTGTATATCATTTTGATTTTGGAAGCAATCAGTAGGTTGATTTTTGGAGAGCTATTTGTGTCTGGCAATAAATGACTAGTATCTCTAAAGAGTCAGCTTATGTTATACTGATGGCTCCTTTAGGAATGGGTCAATGGCAGCATTACAAATGCTTCTGGCAACAGCGACACTCAATAATGATAGTGCTGGTTGTGATGAGATGATGATGCTGAGTGCCATTTCTGTCCAATTTTTCTTTTATTTGCCATCTCCAAACCCTGGCCATTCAGTAAGATAAGTACTAATAAGACTACACATGAAAGAGAAGTGTTCTGGTGAAAGTGACATGGTCATAGATTTAAAAACAGACAAGGCCAAATGGTAAAAGAGGTACAAAAATCCAATGAGCAGAAGAATGCCTTGAAAAGCAGAATTTGCCAAATGGAAATAGAGGCAAAAAAAATTCACTGAAGAAAAAAAAACTTTTCCAAAGTAAAATTGGCCAAATGGAAAAAAGAGGTACAAAAGTTCACCAAAGAAAATGATCCATTAAAAATTGGAATTGAGCAAATGGAAGCTAATGACTTCACCAGAAGTCAAGAAACAGCAAAAGAAAACAAAACAAAAAAAGAAATGAAAACACTGGAAGACAATATCACCTTGGAAAAACACCTGACTTGGAAAAATAGATACAGGAGAGACAATTTAAAAATTATTGGACTAACTGAAAGCCATGATCAAAAAAAAAGAACCTAGACATCATCTTTCAAGAAATTATCAAGGAAAAGCACTCTGATATTTTAGAACTAGGGGGTAATACAGAAATAAATGCCCTGATTACCTCCTGAGTGAGTTCCCCAAATGAAAACTCCCAGGAATATTATAGTGAAATTCCAGAGCTTCCAGGTCAAGGAGAGAATATTGCAAGCAGTCAGAAAGAAATAATTCAAGTATCATGGAGTCATAGGATAACATAAGATTTAGCAGCTTCTATATTAAAGGATCAGATAGCCTGCAATATGATATTTTGGAGGCAAAGGAGCTAGAATTACAACCAAGAATCACCTACCCAGCAAAAATGAATATAATCCTTCAGGGGAAAAACTGCCTATTCAATGAAATAGAGGACTTTCAATCATTCAGCACTGGAAGTCTCAAGTCAAGCCCTGATCCAGCAGTTGTGGTGGATGTCTCTCTGCGGGTCTGTCCTGCCTTTCACTTTGAGGATTTTTTTTAGGTTTTTTTTGTGGGGGAGGAGATGGTGGTGGTAGGAGGCCACAGTGTACCAAGTTGAGGAGCACTACCAGAAAGAAATCCCGGTACAGCATGGTAAAGTTTACATAGGTGCTTTTTTGGAATGCTGATTTCTTATAGGATTCCCTACATAAAGTGCAATTTGCATAATGTGAGTTTGCATAAAGCAACATCTGTCTGTACTCCTTTCTATTCCCATTCAGTTTTCTCTAGAGGTCTTTCATATATAAATTTCCTAATATTCTATTACTTTTCTTAACTTCTTTCTTACTCATTTTATGGTTAGATTTATCTAGCTCACAGAAGAAAAAGTTGAGGTCCCTCAATACTAAAGTTTTACTTTCTGTTTCTTCCTGTAATTCATTTAACTTTTTTAAAAATTTTAATCCTACGTCATTTCCCAAATATATATTTATTATTGATATTACTTCATTGTCTGTCGTTCCTTTGAACAACAGGCAGTTTCATTGCTTACCCCTTTCAATGGGGTTATTTTTGATTTTGTTTTCTCTGAAATCATGATTGCTATCCCTCCATTTTTACTTCAGCTGAAGTATAACAGTTTCTCATACAGCCCCTTATTTTAACTCTGTGGTTCTCTGTTTCAAGTGCGTTTCTTGTAAAAAAATGTATACATAAATACACACACACATATGCATATACACATATACAGAGAGAGACACAGAGAGAGAGAGAGAGTTGGATACTGGCTTCTAATCCATTTTGCTTTCATTTTATGAGTGAGTTCATCCCATTCACACATTTAGGATCACTAACTATGCATTTCCCTTCTTCCTATTTTATTCTGTTTCTCCTTCTTTCTCTCTTTTTATCCTATCCCTCCTCTAATTTCTGTTTTGTATATGACCACTGTATTCTTTTATCAGCCCACTCTTTTATCACCACTTTTTCTTTCCCTTTTCCCATTCTCTGACTTACCTATAGGGTAAGATAGATGTTTATGACCAATTGAGTAAGTCTATATAGATACACACTATAGATATAGATATAGATATAGATATAGATATAGATATAGATATAGATGTAGATATAGATGTAGATGTAGATGTAGATGTAGATGTAGATGTAGATGTAGATGTCGATATAGATATAGATATAGATATAGATATAGATATAGATATAGATATAGATATAGATATAGATATAGATACAGATATAGATATAGATATAGATATAGATATTTTTCCTTTTTGAACCAATTTAGATGTGACTGAGGTCCAAGCATTGGCCACTACCCTTCTACCATTTTCCACTCCAGGGTGAAAGCTCTTCTTTGCACACCTATTTGATGTGAGATCATTTCCCCCATTCTTTCTCTCCTTTCTGTGTCCATATTTCTCATCTATCCATTTATTTTACATCATCCCAACCTAACTGGCTCACTCCCAAACCTTCTCTCTGTGTAGAATCCTTCTACTTGCTCTAATAATGATAAAATTCTTACAAGATATGCATGTTATCTTCCCTTATAGAAAAGTTCACAGTTTAACCTTATTGGGTTGCTTATGATTTCTTTTTCATATTTACCTTTAAGTGTTTCTTTTGAGTTTTGTATTTGAAAGTCATATTTTCTCTTCAGCTCTGGTCTTCTCAGGAAGTTTTCAAAGGCTTCTATTTCATTAAATATCCATTTTTATCTTGATGTATTTCATAGAGAGCAAGCCTGTAGTAACTGAAATGTTCCCAGAGAGAGTGGCTCCTGCCACCAGTGTCTTTTCCTCTGAGTGTTCTGAAGGTAGATGCATTTCCATAGAGAGAAAACTTGTAGTACCTAATGTAAGAAAGAGACTGGAAAGCCTTTCTGGGCAAAAACAACAACAACAACAACAAAACAAAAAAAAAAACCTATATTAAGAGAAATAAAAGGTGGGGT